GATTAGTTTATTGATTATGAGGTTTCTTTGGGTTTTTTCTTTTCTTATTCTTTCCCCCCTTCTTTTTCTTTTTCTTTTTCTTTTTCTTTTTCTTTTTTTTTTTACTTGGAGACTTTTTTGGCATGGATTAAAACAATCGTTAAGATAGGCATTAAAAAAAAACAAAAAAGGATATATAACCAAAAAAGAAAATATTAAGATTCCGAATCGGTCCGAACGTGGAATAGACATTGATATACCATGATATAGCATTAATATGAGTAACATGATCAATAGTAACTACCAGATAATAATTTATATAGTATGCTAAAACACCATAAATAAATTCGTCTTCAAAATTAGAAAGAGAATGTTGCTATTTTTAATAGTTCAAAAGAACAACAATGAATGCTTAATTTAAAATAACAATTAAAGTAATCGTTAACTATAAATAATTTATTTTTAGATTAATTACTCTGATACGCTTACGAATTTTTATGAAAAAAGTGTTTTTAATAATAAATAAATCAGAAACAGTTAAATTTTTGTTTAGTTGAACACATTATTTAACAAATTTTTATTAAAAAGTGTTTTTAACAATAAATAATTAGAAATAGTTAAGTTTTTGTTTAGTTGAGCGCAGTATTTAAAAAATCAAAAAATCGCAAGTTTTTTTTTGCAAGATAAATTTGCTAAATTGCTTAGTAAACATTAAATCGCACTTTTAATTTTTAATCATCAGTAAATCGAATATTTCAGATATACCGCACGCATAATTTACAATTTCTTATCGCATAAATTCCGTGTCCCTGCGCTAAGGACAAATTATTGTCAAATTATCAGCACTATCAGCATTCTAATTAAGTTACACATATTGTCACTACATTCTTCGTCGCACTTAGAATTTTCTATTTTTTCATAAAAAAATTATACGTAATGGCAGTCCTATTTTAGATCTTAGGTCATTGACTTATTACGAGACATATTAATGACATATTAATGGTAGTGGTCAGCCTCCGGAATATTATCGGAGTACTTAATACATCCAGAACACATTGTATGCTATATATTATGAAAAGCTTATTATTATTGTTGTTGTACGTAAGTGGGAATGGAATTTAAGTGGATTTGGAATTTCTTAGTTAAATTAGGACTAGGATTATGATACGTAGAATCAACCCAAACGGGGTTACATATGTTGTAAGTGGGAATGGGAATTTAAGTGGATTTGGAATTTCCTAGGTTAGGGTTAGGGTGTACATATGAACCCCAAAAAACGGGTTTTATATATAAATTCCGAATCCACTTAAATTCCGCTTCCATATCGATATATAATGTTGTGCCTCAGACTATCGTTTGCCTCAGATCACCGGTCAATAAGCACTAAAAAAAAAAATATGTATAAAAATCGAACGTGCCGAAAAACTTAGACGGAAAGAATACACCGCGAAATTTAGGCAAAAAAAAAAAACTATATGTATAGAGAGAAAAAAAGTACGTATTAATTGGAAATAGAATGTGCCATGAAAATTCAGACAAAGAAATTCAAAGAAAAGAACGAGACTTATTGTAAAAGAATGTTACTGTTGGTGGTAAAATACAGAGATTCAAGAATGCTATTGGAGGTAAGACGACGCCAAAGTGATTCAAAAATATAGAATGCTACTGGAGTTAAAAAAGACGCCAAAGTGATTTAAAAAATGCTACCAGCGAGAAAAACGCCGAAGAAATCCAAGAACCCAAGAATTAAAAGAATTTAAGTAAAAGGTCTTTTATTCAATTTATTTTACTCTTATTTTCGTTAGATTGCAGCTTAATCGATAGGTTACGCACCTCACCTACGGTCTGCATCTGAGGTACGTCAGCTGTGATCTGAGGCATGAGGCACAACATATATAAATTCCGATTAAATTCCGTGTCCACTTACATTATTATTAGTTTTATTTGTTGTGGATGATGCTGAAATTCAGATTGTATGAAACGTGAGTTCAATAATCTAATCTTGTTTGTTAGGATTAGGGTGATCTGCAAATTTAACAAATAATACGTATACGTATAGTTATTTTGGCAGCGCTATTATAGTAAACTGACGGATAAGATTTTTTATTTTCAGTACCTTCTGTGACATTTACTAATACTTTTTAATGCCAAGTGATTGTTACTAAAATTTAAAAAAATTAATTATTCGGTGTTTCTATAAATCCATCATCGCTTTAATCTCTTATAACTGAATTCATTATAATGGCGGGCTAATCTTTAAACACTGAATCTCAAAAAAAAAAACGACCAACTACTGAAGAATTAGAATAATTGATGCAAATACGCCGTAATTATTAACATAAAATGAAATTTAATAATTTCTAGTAAATAAGTTTGCCTATTAAACATGATGGTTAAGAATAGTTATTGCTATTAGGATTAAAATCAGAATTACATTTACGATTAGTGCAAGCTATAAAAAAGAACTTATATGTGAAATGAGCTATTGATGAATAAATTGTCTATGAAATAAGCTGTCAATAAAATATATTTTCTATGAAATGAACTTGTCTTATGTAAAATAAACTTGTATGCGAATTAATGCCTATGAAATAAGGTGCCTGTAAAATAATTGTTGCTAGAAATCAATTTTTTCGACAATCTAAAATTAATATATCATTCATTCGTAGTTTAAATCAGGTAAACTTTAGAAAAATACGCGTCAGCCGTCTATGAGTATTGGCTTGGTATAGCTCAATTTGCAATGGCTTATCTCGGCACGAGGTTGGTTAGCATTAGTCAAAAGCCGGCAACTAGGCTTTTTTTGACGCATAGTGAAAAATTAAAAATCACGCGTATTACATAACTATAAACACATAATAAATAATATATTTTAATCTACATTATTCGGTAACGTTAAATGATAATCACAAGCAACTTTTTTTGGTTCGGTAATCCTATATTGATTATTTTCTGTGACCGTTAAGAAATCAGATTAAAATGAAATTTTATATAAAGTAAAATAGGCAAGCCACCAAAAATACAAAATTTTGGGCTGCATTTTTTTTTGGCTTTTTTTTAGGATTAGGGGTCAGCTTTAGGGGTAGAATTAATTTTAACAAATATAACGATAAGTGGGTTTTAGGAGATTAAATAGAAACCCCAAATTTCATTTTAATCCGATTTCATTATGATCTGCGACAATTATTAAATACTCTGGAGAGCCTGATTGTGCTACGTAGTGCAACCGCCACAACCTATAATCTGAAACAACTTGATAAGCCAAAACTAAGGAAATCGAAAGTGAAATAAAGATAATTAAGACAATATGTGTAACTTAATAAAATCTGATAATTTTGAAACTCTTTGTCCTTAACCCTACGTAGCACAAATACGTAGATTGCGTCACGATTCATATACTTTTAAATTTTTGATTCCCGATTAGATAATATAGGCATCATACGGTTAGTGATCACTAAAGACTAATTGTTTTGTTTATTAAATTGTACACTATACGTATAGATTACTATATGCTTATGACTCAGTGTGGGCAATTTTTTGTCTTTATATAAAATAATTTTTTATTAATAATTTATAATTATATTGTTAGAGCATTAGTAAAGTAATAATTTTATTACAAATTTACAATAGAAAATAAAAAAGTGAATAGATTTATATGCCAGCAAACCCGACTTATGGCATCACTTAGTTACGTCTTATATATGAGTGTCGCTAAAAGAAAACCCGAAAATTTAAATATGACTTATATTTAAATTCTCGGGTTTTCTTTTAGCGACACTCATATATAAAACGCAATTGAACCGTGACTAGTGACGTAAATTAGGCTGCATCCACTGTTTACGGAATTCAGCAAGTTTAATAAGTTAACTAGATGTATTTGCAACTTTATAATTTTGTCTTCTGGACGGAAATGATTTATGATAAATAACGTTATAAAAAACATAAGGGTAATTTGGCGAATCGTGATATCTCGTGGTCCCGTGATCAGAATCGGATGAAACTTATATCGTTCAATTCTTCTCGATGAGAGGGATCAGATGGTATATTTCATCTGATTCTGATCGCTGGATCACAAGATACTGAAACCAATGCATTTTTGAATTATTTCAGACTTTGCAATCCAAATCAAATGATTTTTATACTTAACGATTCCTCTCATAAAGAGGAATCGATTGGTATAAGAATCGCTCAATTCTAATCACGGTGCCACGAGATATTCATGTTTGAATATTAAAATATAGAAACTTATAATAAAAGTGGTATTGTGACGAATCGTGATATCTCATGAGTATGAGTGGTGCTAAGGGAAAACCTACAACCGGCTTTCAATTATATTTCGTGCACAGTTTATCCCTAAGTGCTGTCTAGAGAAAATCTATCATCGGGCTTTCAATTATATTTTGTGATGAGTTGTCACAAAATATAATTGAAAGTCCGATACAGATTTCCCTAGACAGCATTTAGGGAACAAACTGTACACAAAATATAATTGAAAGCCTGGTTGTAGGTTTTCCCCTGGCAGCACTCATATGTTATCTGAATTTGATGATTTTTATACAATCAATTCCTCATCTAGAGGAATCGAATAGTATAAGCTTCATTCGATTCTGATCACGGGATCCCGAGATATCAAGATTCGCCAAATTACCCCTTGGCACAAAAATTTCTTATTTTTTTACTCAAACCTTCAATCTAAAATTTTCAAGACCTGGTGTTCAGAATAAAGTGATTTTGATATCATTCGATTCTGCTCAATGTGACGAATCAAAGATACTAAAATCGTTTGATTTCGATCGATGCATCACGTGATACGATCGAAATATGTTTTGTTCGTGGGAACGGTTCAAGTGTATTTGGAATTCCTTAATAAACTTATAGAATTTATTTTATATAAACTACACTTAACCCTTAAAATCTTAAGAAATTCTAAGCCCACTTAAATTCCGTTCCCACTTACAACGAATTCTACTATTCTACTTGCTTTCATGCAACTTGACATAATAATATATTTTTACTAAATTATGCAAATGGCACAACACTATTTTCTTTCGTCAGATTCACATTGTTATACGGATATCAAACGTGAAGATTTATGTTGATTAGAAATTATTTACATTGGTGGATTTTGAATTGTCCATAAAGAACATGGATCAAAGGAAAAGAGAATGAACAAGAAGTGGCAATAAAATATCTTATTCGTAAAAATACACCGCAAGCGAATAGAGATTTTACTCGAGAAGTTAGTCGAAATAATATATACAAAAGAGTGGAATTAAAATATGATAATAAAGCTATCTAATATATTCCAGATATATGCCCTAAGAAAATCTGTAAACTGTAATGAATATATTATCCAATTTTGGTTTGTCCTAAGGTGAATTTCACTAACTTAGTTCTAGGTAAATCGTTCACGAAGTGTACGTATGCACAGTTAATGAGGAAAAGAAATTTTAAATATGTTTTTATTGTGTTAGCAGATATCCATTTTATATTAGATAATTGCACAGCTTAATCGCGCTAAAACCAGGAACATGATACAAAATTCTGGTAAACATGTAGCATGAGATTTGTTCAACATTGCCATCCAATCAGCTTTAAGATTTTTGCCATCGGTATATTTTTCACTCCGTTTCTAGTACGACGTAATTCATACAGTACAAGAAATCTAAGAAACATAATTGCTTTAGAGTTAATGTATACACCATCAGGTAGTACATTGAAACCAATATTTCTTATATTATTGACTTCAATAAAGTATTCATATACGTATCACTTAACTGAAATTTAGGAAATACAGTATTTAATTTAAATGTGGAGAGAATTGCGGTTTTTATATATGTAAAAATACGTACGTACTAGCGAAACTCTGGATTCAAACACAGTGATGGTCACCAATAAAGATTTTGGTTCTTCTCAGTATAAATGATGTCGTTAGTAAAATATATTGCATACCGAAAATGTGTACAAAGTCTCTAATCAAATTTCAAGATAAGGTGTAACGTAACACGATCATTAAAAGATTCAAAACAAACGTCGATTTGCAAAAACTCCCTTTTGCTCTACCCCTCTCTAAATCCTAAGCCTGACTCTGACCCTAACCTTAACGAATTTAAAAAAATTTGTTTGCGTCAACCTTGTGCACATTTTTGGTATCTTGTACTGTAGCTAATATTTCTGATAGCTCTAATACAATATCTCAAGCATCTACTCTTGATATTATAGATGAATCTTCTAATACTTCAAAATCTATTTGGAAATATTTTACTAAAGTAAAATAAACAACAAAATAATTGCAAAATAAGTATAGAATTATTAATGGCACAACTATTGTTTACATTAGAAAAAAGCTGTTTTTTGAAGCATAACTTATCAACTACTAGTCCAATCAAGATAAAATTACAACCATTTGAATCAGCTTATTGAAACAAATTTAAAGACAGTAAGATCATTCAAATCTAGTCACAGGAAGCCAAGATAGAGATTTAATTAAATGTAGCAAATGTAGATTATATATGTTGCAATCTGATTGGCTAATAATCTATTGTGTGAAAATTATACTAGTATTATTTATATTCTTTATCATATTTATAGTATATCTATTATGTATTTTATATACTGTATTACACATCTATTATATTTATTATATATAGCATTTATATTATATATATTTTGTATTTTATCAGTAATAGTTTTAATATTTATAGTATAAGTATTAGCTATAGATTGTTATATTTATAAAAAATTATAATTAATAATTCTCTAGTAAACTAAAGAATTATCATAGTATAATATAATGCAATTTTATATATAAATTTTATAGACAGAAATGTGTTAATTTTTTAAAAAAATGTAGCATTTGTTCAAAAAAAGCCTTTTTTTACTAAGTAAATCACTTTTAGGCTTTTAACTAAAGTTATAAAGCTCTCTAGAATTACATGTAACTCAATCTTTGCACAATACTTGACTATAACTAAACATAAAGCTAAACTACCTATTACTACATCTAATAGTACATTGCTTAATTACAACATATACAGCATTAAAAATATATAGGATATATAATTACAATACCATATTTCTAACTTCCTATTTCATTTAAATAATCAAAACTTTATAGGCTCAAGTATCTATATATAACTTCAACAACTACAAAACAATTTTTGGTCTACAACCAATATTCTTCAACACTCTCATCTATTAATTAATAGTTCTAACAAAAATACAACCATTTTTAAAATTATATAATTACTTAACTCACTTTAATTAACTATTAATATATATACAAACTACTTTCAACTATATACACTTCAATACTCTTATACATTTATAAAAAATTTCTTAATACACACAAATTATATTTATAATTTAAAAAAAGGCTTATATAATTTAGCATATCTGCATTGTAATGTATCTATCTGATTGACCAATTAGATCATAAGATCAAGTATAATGTGAAATTAAAAAAAATAGTGATATTTTAAAAAAATCACCTGTAATTCATAATATTGCTTATGAAACCCTTTTGTATTCTAACAAAAAAATTCCTTGTAAAATTTTGGGTATAATTAATATTTTTACAAACTAATCTAACTTTATATTAGTGCTAACCCTTATTCTAAATTAATATATTGCTGATTTGTTTTGATTTCAGATTACACAGAATGCATTACAACACACCTGTGCTAAATTATAAAATTCTAAAAAAAAACTATGATTAAAAAATATTATTTATTTAGAATAATTCATATTAATTGATTACTCTATTTTACTACTATAGAATCACATATCTTTATAAATACAACAAATTTCAAAAGAATATAAACCTTTATAGTTTATTGCTTTTGAAGAGAAAACAATTACTAATCAACTTACTAGAAAAATTTACTCATATTTAGATTTATTGAATATTAATTCAATATCATTTCAAACTGGACACTACAAGAAATCTAAATACTAGCTAATTATCTATAATAATAACCAGCATATTATTATTGAAAAGACTAAAAATATAACCAAATTAGCAATTAAATATCTATTATATACTAGAATAGTACATTCAACTATTTATATACTAACTTTTATTCTGCACCAATTTATAATTATAAACTATATACAGGATATTCTTTAAATTTTAATTAGATTTAAACCAAATATACAATTAATATCCCAGTTAGCTTATCAACAAAATTTTTAGGAAGAATAAAATATACAGAAACTGGCACTATACTTAATCTCAATGCTAATTTGCTTAACTTACTTTACTCTTTAGCATTGTATAATCTAATAAATATATTAACACAACCTATAATCAATATTTAAGACAATGCAATATCTAAAATCTTTATTAATAACCAACTTTCACAGACTCTAATACAAATTGCAAAAATAACTTTTAACTAATATTTTATACAGATAGTTCTGTTAGAGATATCACTACAAAATAATATACTATGGGATTGGATAGATTCAAACTCAAGATAATACTATTATTTATACTTATTTAACAAAAATTAAACTTTAGCTATCATCTTACAAAGCTGAACTTGTTATAATACTTTCTGCTATTAGTACTTATTTAAGAAGAGTTCTATTGTTATTTATACAGATTCATAATCTAATATAAAAAACTTATGTAGTCACTACTCACACTAAACAAAAGATGCTTCTATAACTACTGGCCAATATGGTATATTCTACTCAATTTTACTAAAGCTTATAAGCTTAATATCTAATTAGAAAAGATTATAGTACATAGTGATAATATCTTTAATAACTTAACTAACAGACTAGCTAAAAATGCTAACTATTTAATTACACTTTAGTTTATAAATAACAATATATATAATTCATCTTACTATATTCAGTATGAATAATATATATATGAATAGCCTACTTACAAATTTATTAAAAATATATACAATGCCTACATTATAGCAATATAATCATCTGAGTTTGGGTTCTGTAGCTTATTGGTTAAGCTTCCAAACCCCCACAGACAAGGTTAACAGTTCGAGTCAGGCTGGTGGCAGATTTTCGAATTTGTTATTGTAACCATATAGAGCCAAATCGGATGCGAAGCCCTGTGAAAAGTCCAAGTACAGTACGAGATCAGAATAAGGAGTTCTTAGAAGGAGACCTGGTTGCAGAGTGTGGGCACTACGTATAACAACAGCATCACAGAAGGTTTAGGCTATAGAAGATTACGCATATAAGTCCTCGGTTAGGAGAAACTAAAAGGCAATACCAACATCCTATCACCTTAATATTTGGCATTACCAACATCTTTGCATCTAACTTGTGGGGTACTTGCTTGGAAAAATGATCAACGGATTGTGTAAATAAGTCCTAATATGGTATAGCGTTAGATACTTGTTTGGAAGGGTAATTTAATACTACCAAAACTGGAGTAGTGAGTGAAGCAGTGATATGCAACTATGGGCTGTGACAAAGGATCAAGCCTTAACTAAAATTAGAAGTACCTCTGGCATCAGTAGAATGACTATAGAAGGCTATTTGGCATAGAGAATGTAATCTACCCCTGTACATCTAAATGCACCAAATCGGAGCTCTGGTCACACCTATATGGAAGTCTAGGACGAAAAGAGCTAGGATATACCAGTACAAATACCACACCAACTAGAAATAGCTGAAAGTGATTTAGCTTACCACTTAAGTAATTTCGTGGTATTAGGCTGGTCTTTAACAAGATAGGTCATTAAAGCAAATTATGAAAGCCAATGGCTAGGAGTATATAGCCTTGCGGTTACTGTGCAACTTCAGGAGGTCCTCACAAATCATGGTCCTAATGAATACCATATAAGGGAGTACATAAGGAGGTAGAAGTTGTACAACTGCATCATACAACTTAGAAAATGTCAAAACCTGGGGATAGCAAACCATTGGCGGCAGCAGAGGTCTGGCTTGAGATACGAGGTTAGTTTACTTGGAGAAGTAAGTAGAAGGATCTGCAGCATTCATGCAATGTATTGTTGTATAAAGGGATGCAAGCCGACAATGGGCAGTGCAAACACAAGATAAGTCCAAAGACCCAAAATGTGATACCAATGCTTCTTATGTGGGACTGGTGGTGACAGCAAGCATCTGGCTTGAGATATGTATATGAGAGGCCACCTATAAAAAAGGTTATCTACTAGTATTAGTACATACCGAATAACAGACACACCAAATTGGGAGGCTGTAAAAGGACCAATTTCTCGAAAGAACTAATTTGGAAGTAATCAAGGTTTGATGATGAGACATGGTGAGAATATGGTGGGTAACTAGAAATAGTCTAAACAT